TGAATGCCTAGGATGACTGAGGACGCCACAGAAGGACAAGGGTAGTGTTCCATTAGCCTGAATGGCCAAGTGGAGGAGGGCTACTCTCCCGGTGAGCGCACCTGTTCATACTGTGATGTGACCTGAAAATGAGCTTCTATTAGTGTTGGAACCATTGTATATTTTTGCATCTATTTGTTACCGCAATTGGCCTACCTTAACTAATACCCTTAGGTAAGCCTTGTTCAGAATGCTCATCTTGGAACTGGGGAAACCATTTATTTATTTTAACTCTAATAACAGTAACAGAAATTAATATTTATTGAGCATTTATCATCCTAAGAGCTTTATATGTATTACCTCGTAATCTTTACTGCAAATGCATGAGATAGGAGCTATTAACTTCATTTTACAGTCGGAGACACAGAAAGGGTAAATAACTTTCCCCAAATCATATAACCAGGAATTATGAAAGCAGAGAGCCCAGGCAGTGTGGGTCCAATTTTCATCACTGACATGGGAATACCATGACATCCATAAAATCAAATACTTTACCAACCAGATTGTCTTGCTCTAAGATCATTATCCTTCTTTCTGGTGCTGCTGGGGACCGTGGCCTGGAATCTCCAGCTTAGAACCCAGTGCCATGCTCCCAACTCCTAGACCTGCTTCATGGCCCTGATGTCTTTGCCTGGACTTTTGCATACTTCCCTCCTCATCTCCTCGACACTTGGCTTTAGTTTCTGCCAGAACCCTGCTTTTGACCTTATGTCATTATCCCTGACTCAGACCACCACTCACCCATCTCCTCTGGACATTTTCCCCAGATAACTGTTTTTACTTCCCTAGACAAGACTTGCCAAGATTTTCCCTGCCACCTACTGCAAAATTCCCCAGTATCCTCACCACAGACTTGATGGGTATCTGATTGCCTGTCTGGGCTCCTCCTGGTGTGGCTTAATCCACTTCCTGCCTAACTTTGAATTCACATTCTGACCTCATTCACTGACATTTTTATTGGGTGTTTACCAAGGAACTAGGCTAGGTACACAGGACAGCAGAGTGAACAGGAAAGCCCACTACCAGAGTACGATCATGATCAGTGCCAATCCCCTCCCATTCCACTCCCCCCCAGATCTCAACATATCATCTCCCCCTCAAAAAAAAAAAATCTGAAAACATTTCAATTCTGGAATCTCAGTCTCTTCTCCTTCAGGATGCTCAAATTTTTTTTTTTTTTAATTCTAAATTGATCACCAATCTCCTAGTGTTTGATGAAAGGTATAATGGTACTCAAACCTAGCCCTTATCAAAGCCAGTTTAAGGACAGTCTGGAAGCCCTGAGCCAGGGATCTACAGGAGGAAAAGGTGTCTGTCTGTGGCACCATCTTAAGAAGAGAGAACAAATTGCTCCAGAGCTTTGATGCAGCAATGTTTATTTTCTCCATCTATATATGTAACAGGAAATTCAGCAGTTCACCTTTGTAAATCGTTTGCATACCACTTATGTAGGAGCCAGATGGCACCTCTTTGTTTTCAGAAATTAAAAATGAAAAAAGGAGAATATAAGGAGGGGCTTATCTCAAGCTCCCCTCTTGCTCCCCTGGGTACGCTCTAGAATCCTCGGGGAGCAGGAGAGCACAAATAGATGCACACACAAACACACACACGTCCGAATTACCTATGTTTATCTATATTAGGCATGAGAAATGAAGCAAATTCTTAGGCCCAGTGATCAATGGTAGCAGAGAGGTGAAGCTTGTCCTGGGGTATCTGCTTGCAGACAGAACCCTTCACGGCGTTCTCTCCATCTGATAAATCACTGTTTCCCTGAGGGTCTCAGCCCGTGCAACTGAACAACAACATCTTACATAAATCACTGGGACATGGCTTTAGCTCTAAGATTCAGAAACAGGAACAGGACCATATAAACACTGACCAAAAGAAGAAGTAAGCACTGATGACCCAGTATGTCTTCATAAGTTGAAATCTTACAAAGGAAATTTTCCTGAGGTGGTCAACTTAAAGACCCTACTCCTCTAGGGCAGCTGTGTGATCCCAAATTATTTTTCAGTGGTCAGGAGGTTCCTCTTTCTAACCCAGAAAGTGCATGTGGAAATAAGATTAGCTCCACAGTTTGTTTGTTTGTTTTGCCCTGGGTGTGAGAAGAACTAAGGAAGATAATGAAAACAATAAACTTACCCAGTAAGTATTGAATTACAGGCTCTTTACACAAATGAACTTACTTAACATCAACATTACTCTATTGAGTAAATCTTTTTGTCCTCCTTGGAGAAACAGGAAAACTGAACAGAGGTTAGGGCAAAGGCATGCAGGTCCCATGACTGCTGATAATAGTCAAATGTTAGAAAGTGATCACAGGTTAAGATCAGGCCCAAAACCCAAGAATACCCTTGTTGTCCCCAGTGTCTTCCAATAGGAATGATAAGACTTCAGACTGCATTACTGTGACCTCGGGCAAATGTACTGCTGCCTTTTGTTTTATAGAAGAGTAGGGAAGGAAGATGAAGTCCACAGCACAAGCCACTTGTTGAATGTGGAGAGTATAGTACCTACCCAACATCAGTGGAATAAGCAGCTTCCCAATGGTGTGCTGAGTTTTACTGCAATAGCTATCCTTCCTTGTTCCATATGCCCTTGGAAACAAAGGCATACATTTCCAAGCCAGCTGGCCTCAACCAGCAAACTGGCTTAGCACTCATGAAGGAGGAATTGAAGATACAGTGAGCATAGACACTTCCCATTTATTCTCCCTTCCTTAAATTCATTCTGGCACCCACGGAAATTAGATGGGTTTACTCCTTGAAACTCTCCCAGGAGTAAAGAGCAACAGTTCACAGCTGCTAAAGCAAGGGCAAAGAACTATCATTGGGACTGTTTTATTTGGTTTTTCTTTTTAAACCCAAACAGAGAAATATTAAGTGCAAGCCTAGAAGCAAGTCTGAAGGCTCAGTTTGCACATTCTGGTCAGTCATGGTTTCTTGGTTTCCCAAGATCATGGTGAAGCCAGCAGAGACCATCTTGGCCTAATTAAATATCTGCCCTGCACAGAAAAAAAGTAAAACAGTGAGCCATCCCTTACTTTCTTCCACTCCACCATAAATCTGAGCTCAGTCAGGCAATCCAGCAAACCCTATTACACAGAGTGGAGAGGCAATTAAATGGTGCCAGTTCTAGCTGGCCTCTAAGAAATCGATGACCCATGGGCCCTCTTAGTAACCACACCAATGCCTCTCTTGAAAATGAGCGGAAAAAATGGTCTAGATACTAAAAAGAGACTCCACTTTGACATTTGCTGGCAGGTCTGTTCTGGCCCAGTGTGTGGTACTTGCTGTATTTTGTTCTTTTCTATCTCTGGACACTGGATGGGGCTGGTGGCTACAGAAGCTGCCCAGTGTGCTGTGGACACTCTACTTTCCCCCCATGTAGTCTACTTTGCTCATGATAGTACATCATTTGTCATCCTTTGTACCACAAACAAGTCACTTTGTAGCCATAAAAATCATTTCTTAAACACTGCATTTTTCTCTGGATCTTTGCTAAAACGAAGTTCCTTGAGTGATCCATTTTAATGCCTGAGTGATCATGATTTAGGCAAAGCTACATACATGTCCCAACCCCGAATTCCTAGCCTCCTGGTCCATTAGGCTCAAGCCAATAGGACCATCATATTTGGGGTCATCGACTCATAATTCAATCATCCATTCCTTGCAAAAAGGTGAGACAAGACAAGTAGCTGCTACTCCACTTGCTATTGGTTGAATGTTTGTGTTCAGAGTTCAAAGTTAGGTTAAGCCTAACCCTCAACATGATGGTTTGGTGGGGAGGGGTCTTTGAGAGGCAATTAGATCATGAAGATGGAGACTTCATGAATAAAAGATTAATGCCTTTATCCAAAAAGACCTCAGAAAGATCCTTTGCACCTTTTCTTCCATGTGAGGACCCAGTGAGAAGACAACTAGTTATCATAATGTGCCCTCACCAGACATAGAATCTGTAAGAGCCTTGAACATGAGAAATAAAATTTTTGTTGTTGTAACATCCCCAGTTTATGGCTAAGACATCCTTCTGCTTCCAAAACATTATTCTCTCTCTCCTTATACCACCTATCCAAACTACTCCCCTAGTTAATGTCCCCATGCTCCATGTATTAGAGACATCTGCCTCCCAATCAATTTGCAGACATTACTCCATCTCTGGGTTTAAAGTTGCAACCACATTTCCCTTTCTGAGAAAAGTGATGCTTGTGGTCATTCACCCTTTCCCTGGCAATAATCAAAACCATCCAATGATCCATGGGAAGATTTCCAAAGACTAAGGAGAAAAGTTGTTTCTGGAAGCAAAACAAGATCCTATTAATATGAAGTAGACAACTGTATGCATTCAGGAATCTTTCCTTAAGATCTAACCTGGCGTCTCTCCAAAGCTGGAAGCTGATAGGATGCTTTCTTTCCTCATCTTTCCAAAAACCATTAGGATTATCTGTTCAGCAGTGTATTAACCATTTTTGCTAGTTTTCTTTGGGTTCCACTTTTCATCAAGATCTATCTTTGGAAAGAAATCATCCTTACATGGTCACAAGATAATTCCAGAGAATAAAATGTGTCATGGTTAAGGCTAGATTAGGGATTGTGCTGGGAGATGTTAAAATATAGCACTATGTTGGTATTACCTGGGTATGGATTTGTGTGTGTGTGTGTGTGTTTGTGTTTGTATGAGCATTTATGCACGTAAGAACAAAATGCCTATGTTATTGCAATGTACAGATACAGTTGAGTCAAATGTCCAAGAGGACAAGAGGAAGAGCCAGTTGAGATAATAATAAAAACATATGCCAAGCAACAGGAGTGATCAAAAGATAACTAACTGTTGAATGTGCATCTGAACACTTGTGTGTATATGCGTGCACCAGAGTGACAGGGTTAATGGACAATGACAAAGACATGTAAGCAAGGTGCTAGCTCTGCTGCTGAGCCCTTCAGCTGGGAAAGTCACCTTACCCTGTAGTAATCAGTGCTGTAGACATCTCTGGACATGCCAAAGTCTCCAATCTTCACCAGCAGGTTGGCTCCAACCAGGCAGTTCCTGGTGGCCAGGTCCCTGTGCACGAAGTGCTGGGAGGCCAAGTACACCATGCCTGAGGCGATCTGACTGGCAATGTGGAGCATCTGAGAGAGCCCCAGCTCGCCCTTGGCTTGGCGTGGCTGCCCATCCACGAGGATCATGGCATCTGGCCCATGGGCCCTGTGAGGAGGTGGGAAGGAAAGAGGGAGCAGAGAGAATTCAGGAGATCAAGGGGAAAGACCTTTTTGGTTCCCAATCCTCTGGAATGCTCCACAGAAATGAGTGAAATTCCCCTTTCCTAACTTCTATACTCTATTTCTACCTACCCCAAAGTATATTGAATGAACGTGGGTATGGCTGAAACTCTACAACCAGATTCCCGTGGAAGATGACAGAAGACATATTCACATGGAACTGGGAATAATCCCACTATTTTTAACATCTTACTGCTACAGAGGGATTCCCCCATGGGATAGATACTTATTATATAATAATTAATAAAACAACAACTGTTATATAGCCCTTACTATATGCCAAGCACTGTTCTGGTTGTTTTGAATATATTCAATTAATCTGTCTACCCAGACTTTGAAATTAAAAAATTGAGAAATAAAGAAAATGATCAGATCAATCGCCAAAGTTCCAGAGGTCTCAGAATGGCTATCTTGGTAAACAGGAGACAGAATTTAAAGCCAAACCATGACTTATAAAAGAGCACTTTCAAAGGGAGAAAGGAATTTAAAACACATTCCCAGGTCCCCGCCCACCAGGATTCTGATTGGCTGGGCAGAGCATATTCATTTGCATTTCCCACAATTTCCTGGTGCTGATGTAGACTAGTAGTCTACACCCAGCAACCGTAAATAATAGGAAACTCGTGGGTTCTCACTCCTAACCACTCCACCACACTGCTTAGCACAGAGTAACTCAACAATAGCAGCAAGGCAAGATGGAGAGACACTCTGACTCTGCAGCACCTAGAGTACTCCAGCACCCCTTCCATCTCAAATTAGGGCCTGGATTTGTTTTTCTAACATCTCGCCTTGTCATATCTGTCATTTTTAGTGCTCACTCTTTTCTCTAGAAAGCCCAATGAGCCATAACCACACCGGGGGCCCTTATTTATGAAGCGGTGGCCCAACGAGCCCTGGTGTACAGCGAGGTCTCAGCCTGTTTTACTGCTTCTCCAGTTTCCATTGAAAGGCACCATTAAATATGAACACTCATTTTATTATCTCCGGTGAGGTCCAACTACCTAACTCCTCAGAAGGAGGGCTGCTGCATCAGCTGGCAAGCCAGGGGGTCACTAGGTAAGCACAAGGCCTGTCCACCAGGAGGGCACTCTCCAGCCTGCCCCTAAATACCACAACTTGGAGATGTGAGGGCAGGCAGGGCCAATCTGGGGGCACGGAGGCTGTGTTTGGAAGAGCAGCAGTAAGTCAGCTCCCAGGAAAGGTTAGTGTGACCTATTGCTAAGAGCTTCTGGCACCAGGGCATTCTGGAGAAGTCTTGACTGACAGAGCCTAGGGAGACAGATTAATGACATCTACTGGGATCATTTGGTTAGCAGTGGAGGCAAAAGTCCAGATCACATTGCAAAAAAATCACCCCCCAAATACTGTTGGGCCTTGATTTTTGGATAGAATCCTCCATGCTGTCTTCAGGAAAGGGCTCTAGAGAAAAGACAGCGGCTAAAGAGTGTCAGCAAGTCCTTGGAGGACTGTGCTCACAGGAATGCCTCCTTCCATTGTCCATGGAGACCGGGAGGTGACCCAGTGCAGAAGCTGCCCCTCACCTTGTGCCTTCCTTCCTACTTCTTTTGATCTGCTTTTACTTTTCTTATTTTCTCCTGCTCCCATTCTGTGCCTTTGCTCTCGCTTCTCACTCTTTCCCTCCATTCTGCTCCCTTGTTCTTCCTCTTCCCTTACATTGGGCAGGAGAGGGATACACAGAGACACACAGCCAGGAACTCTCTTTAGCCCTGCTGGTGGCACTTGAGGCTGAAATACTGGGTCTGTGGAGAGGGTGTGGTGGAAAATGGAATATGCCCTCTGACCCCAGAAGAATGAAAGCACAGGGAGAGGGGAATCCTGATTATTGAGAGAGAGTGATTCCTAGATTAGAAACGATCATGATGCAAAGCCATAATAGTAATAATAGAAATAACAGGAATAATTTTAATAGTAGCAACCATTGGCTGAACACCTAGCTACATGAAAAATTCATCTAGGTATTACATATATATATAGTCATTAAAATACTATGAGTAGTGAAATTTGCTCCAGTTGTAATTAATGTGACAAGACATGAACCCCAATTTGTTTTATGCTAAGGACTGAGTTCTCTAGGAAAATCCCGGTTTAGGAGGCATTGAGTAGTCTACAGATATTTTTAATTCTCCCAGGGTCTTTTTTTAACCCAGATTATAAACAGAGCCCCAGAGACCCCTTCAGTCCATTACTTGGTACCAACTCTTTGTGTTGTCGCCTCAAAACTCCAACACTCTATGGAATGTTGCACTTCAGGAGGATGCTCATCATTTGTCGGTGAGTGGGTTAGAGCCCTGTATACCTTACATTTGAACCCTGGATGTTTCATTCACAGCCATGAAGTTTGATGGGATTCAGCTAGTGGTGAGGCAGAGACCACACCCTAAGTGTCCAGAACCTGAGAGTTCAACCTGCTTCTTGGGAAACTGGATTTCACAGTTCCTCACACGTGGCTTCCCCCATACTTAGGCACTATGTGTGAGGTGACAGCAATGGAAGGCTGTTACAGGAAAATCTTAGTTCTGTTCTAGTGATGAGCTGCTGCCTTCTCTAGGGAAAGTGGAGTCTCCCTTGCAACTACAGCCTGAACTTCTGACTGGGGTGCCAGTTTCATCCAAAGCTTCTCAAAGTCCAGGTAATCCCTCTCCAGACTTGGAGAAACTCTTCTTAAAAAAAAAAAAAAAAAAATATATATATATATATATATATATATGTGTGTGTGTGTGTGTGTGTGTGTGTGTGTGTGTATACATATACATATTCATGTAGAACAATATATATAGCAGCACTATCCAATAGAATTTTCAAATAATGGAAATGGTCTACACTGCACTGCTCATTTGGCAGTCACCAGACACATGCGGCTACTGAGCACTAGAAATATGGCCAGTGAGACCAATAACTGAACTTCTAACCTTATTCAACTTTAACTAATGTAAATCCAACTTGAAATAGCCATCTGTGGCTACTGTCGTAGACAACACAACTCTAGAATTTACCTGAGGAAAATCTTCCTTTTTTTTTCCAACCGTTTCTGTCTTCTGATGAATTTTTAATCTTGCACCCTCCTATTCATCATCAAGAAGCTTCTGGCAAGAAGGTTTCCAGGAACGCTGCCCAGGACTAGCCTTACTGTGCAAGTGAGATGTGCAAGGCACAAAGGGGACAAGCTATTTGCAGCATTGAGAGAGGGTGGCCCTAGAGTCTTGGAGTTGTAAGTGACCCACTGGACTCTCCTGGGACCCAGGCCAGACTTTTCTTCTCAGCCCACCCTGGAATCAGGAGAAAGAGCTCAGGCTTTTTATCTTAGGGACATAGGCCTTAGGCCAGCTGCTAAGGGGATGATGGAGAAGAATGAAAGGGTGCTTCTCGTTTCCCAACCTCAGACTTAAGAGATCAGTGGGGGGAGTGTGACTTCTGACTCCAGAGACAATCTCGGGGGTTGGGGAGTCTTAGGGTCAGTAAAGAGAAAGACAGCAATCCTCGCATACCTGAGGAACTTGTTCAGGTCTCCATGCTTCATGTACTCAAAGACCATGATGAGGGGGTCCCCATCACCGCACACCCCATAGAACTTGACAATGTGTTCATGTTGCAGGTTGGTGAGCAGCTCGGCCTCCCTCTGGAAATCCTTTCGGGCAGCCAGGGTGGGGTCCTTCAGGGCCTGCAAATAGTACAGCAGCCTTTAGCAACCAGAGGCAGAGAGCTTTTCCCATGGAGAAACCTGGCACCGCACACTGCTGGGTTCCCAATAAAGGAGATTTTAAATGGAATTTAAAGATGAGGATGCTAAATCTTTACTCTGTGAAGTGCAACCCCACCACATTCAGAATTTTGATCCACATTAAAAGAGAGAGAGAGAGAGAGAGAGAGAGAGAGAGAGAGAGAGAGAAACTCACTTTCTGACATCCACATCCCACGTGCTGGACAGTGATTTTTAAACTGTGTTCAACTCAGAGTCCCTTGGAGTCCTCAGAGGTGAGTGTGAATGACAAGGGAACATGGATGTGAAATGGAAGGCCTGAGAAAGCCCCTGTTTCTAAGGTTTCCTTCAAAGAAATGGTCTCCCTGCTTTAGCTTTGTAAACCAACACACCCAAAGCCTGCCAGAAATCAGGCAGATGATCTAACAGTTTCCTTGACTGTTTGAGTCCTTAGTTTTCAATGGTGATGGGGTTCTCTATTTACCCAGGAGGATGAGCATTTTGACTTCTAAAAGACATTGAGTTCTCCTACCAACAGTTTGGAGCAAGCCCTGAGGTTGGTAAGTAGGGTGACAGCCAAGGAATGGTAATTAACAGACAGCAGCTTTAGAGGCACCCAGGACCAAGTAGAGAATCACAAAGTCCTAGGGCAGGATGAGAAGGTGGACATCTGGTGGCCACCAAGATGCTACAACTCAGCCCTGTGGGGGAGGCAGACCCAGGTGAGAGGGGCAAGTATGGACCAAGCCCTGTCCTGGTCTAGGAAGAGACCCAGGGTGTGAGTTCTTAATGTTGATTTTCTAAGCACCAAAAGGAGACCATGGGACCAAAGCTGAAGACTTCAAGTGCATCAGAGGAACCATGGACAGGGCACCACCACGGGGATGAGCAATGCTGGTCAGGATGGCTAAAGCCTGTGCAGGGGACAGTCCCTCTCCCAGAGGAGCAGTCTGCACAGGCACACTTGCACATTTCCCCATCCTCCCCATGAGGTCAGAGGGCAATGAGGCCAAACATCCACTTCCTTTAACTGACGATGTATGTGTACACATTAGGTGTCTTCCAAACGCTCATGCGTGAGACAGTGCAAGAGGGTTCAGAGGAGAAATGTTTGGGTTGTGAGAGTCTTAACCCAATCAGTGAATTAATCCCCTGATAGGGATTAACTGAGTGGTAACTGAAGGTGGGAGGGAGTGCCTAGAGGAGGTGGGTCCCTAGGGATGTGCCTTTGGGGTAAGTATTTTGTATCTGGCCAATGAAGTCTCTCTGCTTTCTGGTCATGATAGGAGCTGCTCCCTCCAACACACTCTTCCACCATGATGTTCTGCTTCTCCCCGAGCCCTGAGGAAGGGAGCCGTCTGTCTATGGATTGAGACCTCTGAAACCAGAGACCCCAAGTAAACTTGCCTCCTCCACAATTGTTCTGATCAGATCTGTTAGTCACAGCAGCAGCAAAAATGATAATACAGACAGTTTAGTGACCTCAATAGACACAACAAGACGCAATGAGGAAATGAGTGTGGAATTTTCTCACTCTCAGGTAGTGAATGTTGAGACAGACTAGAGACTGCTTTGCATGCTCCCTAGCAGGCATCTGGCCTGTTCTGGTCATTCAGGCACTTTGACCTCCCCAGTAGATTATGCTAGCCCCCCAGCCAGAGACCTTTCTCCTACCCTGCAGACCATTAGTTGAACTCTACAGGCTGCTTTACATTCTAGCACTATAGTAGTATGAATCTATTTTTTTTTAAATTCATATCTATGTATCTACAGGCAGGCCCATCCAACCTCTCAGTCATTGGCACATATCAGAGATGATGACTGTTATCATGAAAATCTACTACCATCTGCTTATTTGTTCATTTGCAGAAACTGAGGCTGAGCCTGTCTAGGAACCAGCCACATGCAAACATCTTACACAACAGAAACTTAAAATGAACACAAGCCACCCACTGGTGAGCTCCATGGTGCCCCACTAGTCAGTAGCAATACTTCCAGGGCCATCAAAGTGGGTGTGGTCTCTTGTCCAGAGATCAAACCCCATCCCAACTTCCATCAGCAGCACCTTGCATCTTTCTTAAAGTCTGAAAGGTTTCTGCAAAAGAATATTTAATTAAATGGTACCACTGCTGACAAAAAAAAAAAAAATGTTAAAAGTTATCTGGCTTCACTTGCCCATTTTACAGGTGAGAAAGCTGAGGCCTAGAACAGGGAAGAGGTTTGCCAAAGATCATGAAACCAACAACTTGGATCTGGAGCCCAAGGTATTTTCCTGCCTAACACATCTGCTTAAATCAGCTGATCAGATAAATTAGGCACTAAACAGGTCCCCCAGGGAATGAAGGGCCCAGGAGTGAAAAGATGTGTTATCATTGGGGAGAGGATAGAAAAAGGCAGAAAGTATGGATGCCTGCAGAGTGGCTTCACCCAGTGCACAGGCCTATAGGGCAGACCAAGGAGAGAAACAAAGTGTGAGGTTCATTCTGCCCACCCATGGTTGATTTTTATCAGTACTAACTCTATGCACTTTCCCTTCTAGCGTTTGCTGCTTGCTCTGAGTTGTTGAGAGCCACAGCCAAAGGGGCCCCAGCAAACTTCCAGCTGCCAGCAAGCTTCAGACTGCCCCAGCA